TATACATATTCAACAAATATCTTCTAGGCAATTTTTTTTAGGAGTTTTTCATCATATTTCTGATTCCTAAAACTTTGTAAAATTCCTCTCAAATTAATTTAAATCCTTGGAAAGATTGATATTAATTCTTTAAAATTCTTTTTAATTCTTAAAGCTATCCAATTTATAGAACTTTGTAAAAATTAGTCATTTTTTTGGTTTAAACATTATAAACATAATTGAATAAATAATAAATCTATATAATATTAAGGGTAATATTATTAATATGAAAGCTATAATTGAATTATTAAAAGAACGGATAAAAATCTCTATTTTTTTTATAAAATCATGTTAAATTTTATAGTTCCTGCTAATTTAATGGTTAATTATCTGGATTGCTCTATTACTCCTTTTTTTTACTTGTAAAATTAGAATTTATTTTTACGTAAAAACTCTGATGATTATCAAAGCCGTTAATCCAATTACAATCGCGATTAAACCATAATGTTGATTACTTGAATTAGTATCTAAAGAGAGATTTTCAACATACAATTCACCTTTATTAGACTCTGATATCTCTTCTGTTGAAGCTCCTTCAGGTATTGATTTTGAATATTTTTGCAGTAAAGTTATTTGATCTATAGATATCGATAAAGGTTTTGGAATTATATAGACAATAGTGTCACAATTCTCATATTCTAGATAATATGCTAATTTTTATAATTATTATGCCAAATCCATCAATCTCATCTAAAAATTATTTTCTATTTCAAAAACTGGATTTGATTTCATATCTTTATCCACTTCTATAGGAATAATAAATTTAGCCTTCTGTTGAGTTAAACTAGCTTCTCCTTCTTCCATATTCAGCTAAATTTCACATTTTATACTATCCTTTTTCTATAATTAATGAATTGCTGGACAGTATATTTCAAAATTAGAAGGTTCAAAAATTATTCCAGATGGTACTTACTTTAATTTTATTTTAGATTTATCTTTCACTTCATACTCATTTCCATAACCAATTATATATTCTCCTTCTATTTTTATTGAAATTCTCTTCACTGCCTAATCATTATTATTGTTAAATTTACATAAACTAATTCAGCTTATTTTGGAAATGTTAAGAATTAATTAGAAATACAATCTGCATTTATTTTCTAAATTAGTAGTAACAACGTAAAAATCATTTATATTTAGATGTATCAGTTTATGAAATAAATTAAATAATAATATTTATTTATTAAAAACATTTATATATTATAAATATAATATATATA